AAATATATTGTTTTTATAATTATTAAATATGTAAATTTTGTATAATTAGTGCATGCATTTATTGTTTTTTTAAAATATATTTTATTGATTTTTTATGGAGAGGAAGGGAGAGAGATAGAGAGCTAGAAATGTCGATGAGAGAGAAACATCGACCAGCTGCCTCTTGCACACCCCCTGCTGGGGATGTGCTCGCAACCAATGTACATGCCCTTGACCGAAATTGAACCTGGGACCCTTCAGTCCGCAGACCGACGCTCTACCACTGAACCAAACCGGTTTCGGCGCACTTATTGTTAAATACTACTACTTATAAGAATGAGGCAGAGTTTAGCATTAATGTTTTCTCAATTCTTAATTTTTATAAATTCTAAGAAAATGTTTTTACATTAATGAGTACATGGGGCTGTAGGAAGTTTTGTCATATCACTGTCACTTAATTCTATGAACTCTTTCCAATTTATAAACTTACCTTGTGATTTTAAGGTCATACTTTGTTGAAAGCAATTACTTGTAAATCATTGGACTTGTAAAAGTATGTGTTTACAGTCATTAGAAGTATACATTTCTCAATATAGCCCAGTCTTTTAAATTGATAAAAAAAAATTGACATGAGTTGTCTGAGGTTTTTACAAATTATGCCCTTTGTTTTGGCAATTATATGGCTATTGTGAAAGAATTGGAAAATGAAATAGGGAGATGCCTTAACTACATTACTTCACCACCAGGTCAGTTTTAGAATATATATATATATTCTAAATATATATATATATTATATATATATATATATATATATATATATATATATATATATATGAGAGCTACTTTCTTTTCCACTGAAGACTGACTGAACTGAGACACCCACATATGTGGCCCCACTAACTGGCTCAGTTGATTAGGGCATCAGTATAATGAAATGCCTAAGCGACCATCCTACTGTTCGCCCAGAAGCTATGATGCCTAAGCGACCATCCTACTGTTCGCCCAGAAGCTATGATGCATAATGACTACCAGGAGGCAGATGCTCCGACCAGTAGAGGAGGGAGCCTGATTCCTTGCAGAATCAGCCTTGGGTTAGGTTGCTGCTGGGGCACTGTCGGCCCCGAATCTGCTTCACCTGCACCCTGGACCCAGAGATTGGTTTCAGCCCAATCCCCACAGGCCAGGCGGAGGGACTCCGCCAGTGCATGGATCCGTGCACGGGACCTCTAGTATTACATACCGATGCAAGTTGAAGATTAGAAACTAAGTGTGCACCTGCCCTTTCAAAATCCCCTCAGGGATGCACATACCAGTTTAAAGACCGCTTATGTAAATTTTTACACCACTTTATTGAACTTGATGAGAGACAGGTCATCTCAGATTAGGCCTCTGCTGGGGATACTGTGCACTGGTGTCTATGCCTTGGGAATACAGAACTGAGACCTGTACACGAAGCATCAAACAACCAGTCCTGTTGGTTGTTTCATTTTTGTGGATGGCTAATCTCATCTTTTATATTTGTTTTATATTTTCTTGTCAGTGATAGTAACCTTACCTTCAATATTGGGGTACTTATGTTGAACCTATATACTTCCTGCCTAAGGGAAATATGATCCACTTAAAAATGATTATGTCAGTCTTTGGTTGTTGGCACCAACTCAACACCAGATTGGGGGTGCGGTGAAAAGAAGGAAACTTTAATTCAGGATAAAGTGCTGGGAAACAGCACAGCTATAGAACAACTCTGGGGCCAGGCTGCTCTCCAGCTAGACAGATCTGTGCTGCTCCTGGACTATTTGCTCTGTTCTGCTCAGAGCAGGTCTGCTTTGTGTGGCACTGGAGAGACATCTGTGGGTGGTTTTTTTTTTTTTTTTTTTTTTTTTTGTTTTTTTTTTTTGTTTTTTTTTTTAATTGATTTGAGAGAAAGAGAGAGACACAGATTGTTGTCTTATTTCTATATTTCTATATTTGTTGGTTGTTTCTTATATGTGCCCTGATGGGGGAGGGGATTTCATTATACCGATGCCTAATCAACTGAGCTAGTTACTAGGGCCACATATGTGGGTGTCTCAGTTCAGTCAGTCTTCAGTGGAAAAGAAAGTAGCTCTCCCAGCCAGGGGGGTGGAGAAGGTTTATATAAACAGGAGTCCCCTCCCTGGTCCCTGATTGGCCTGCCTCATGCAAATGAAGGCTCCAAATCCTCACAGTTTGATTGGTCCAAAAGGCACTGTCTTGATTGGTTAAAATAGAGCTGCTCTAATTGGTCAGAGCTTCACAGTTTTGACTGGATGGGAAAATCATCAATCCTATTGTTTGAAATATGATTCTCAGAACTCCTTTATAGGCTGTCTCAGATGGCAGAAGTATAGTACAGGTAGGCAGTTCAGCATAGAGGCAGGTAGTTCAGTACAAGTTTGTTACTCAGAGGCCCCTGTGCAGAAATGGCTACTAGGATCTGTTTTTAAAAACTTGAGCCCATTTAGCCACCAGGAACCCTTATTAGTTAGGTGTCTTTTTTTCTTTTCTTTTCTCTCAGGATTCACAATTAAGACCATTAAAAAAGATAAGAAATTTTTAGAGTATGGTAAGGGATATAAGCAAAATATATAGTTGTATGAAAATTATAATTTCAATCATGCAAGTTACATAAACTTCTGGACAATACTACAAGTGAATATGCAAAAATGAAGCGATTTTTTTGTAAAATGTCTTCCATGTTGCTTGATTCAAAATAATAATAAACTTTACGATGCTGGGGGTGGTCAGGTAATCTGTCAAATCTACTATAAATCTAATATTCACTTTCTTCCTATGGTACTAAGAAACCATGCGTGAGTTTAAATTCCCCAAAATAAAGTGTTCAAGAAATTTAAGATCCTTTTTTTTTTCTTTCCAAAAACTAATTTCTCATCATGAGTCATTAAGGATGTCATTCCCCAAATATATTTAACCTCTTCTCTAATCGAATTTAATACATTCCCTGTCTTGATGTGACGAATTAGAGGCTTATTTCCTGCTGTATGAAGTAATAATCTCATATTCATTTTTTTAGCTTTCTTTCATTTCCTGGTTGTTCGGAGTTCAAGAACTCGACCTCGCTAACTTGTACTGCTCTTAAGTTTTAGCATCCCTCATAGCCTTTCTATTTTTTAAAATTCGTACTTTAAAAAAGTAGTCATGTTTAGCAGCCTACAAAACTAACATTTTCCTCAAATTTGTTTTTTGTGCGTGGTTTTTTTTTTGTTTGTTTGTTTTGTTTCTTTTTTGAGATCGGATCGGTATATTCTTGGGCGAGTCGTAAAAACGGCTACCAGCCCTCTGGGGTTCCCGGCAGAGGGACCAAAGGTTCCTCGGAACCAGCGCCCAGACAGCGGAAGCCCGGAGGAGCCCGCCAGGTGACCGCAGCCCACCCCCTGACCTCCGGCGGCCGCCGCACCGGTGGCCCCGCCCCCTCGGGGCACGCAGGTGCCTCCGCCCCCACCCCGCCCCCTCCCGCCCGCGCTCCTCACGCAGGCGCGCACTCCGCCCGCCCGTGGCCACGCCCCTCCGCGCCGGCCCGCCCCGGCCGGCTGCTCCGCCCCTAGGCGGTTGCTCCGGCGGCCGCCGCCCTCCCCCGGCCCAATGGCGCGGCTGCCGCGTCAGTGATGTGGACTAGTGCTCAGGCTCGTCCGGCCCCAGGCCCGCAGCCCATTACACCATCCGCCGCGGCAGTCGCTGCAGCCCGCGCAGGCTGGGAGGGCGGGAGGCGGCTCGGCGTGGCGGGGCGGGGCGAGCGGCGCGGCCGCACTCATTCCTGTGGGGCGCGGGGCATGGAGGAACCGAGCGGCCGCAGGCGGAGCTGGGCGGCGCAGGCGGCGGCCGGGACAACGGTCTCAGCTTGAAGGGGGGCGGCCGGAGCCCGAGCGGCCGGCGGCGTCGGCGGCGGGAAGGACGAGCTCCGGGCAGGTAGTGGCGGCGGCGGCCCGAGGCGCCCGCGGGGAGGCCCGGGCGGGAAGGGGAAGGAGGGCGTCCGGGCAGCTGAAGGTGGCGGCGGGCTGGAGGCCCCCCCGGCCGGCCAGTCCGCCCGCCGGGAGCGGGTCGTGGTGAGCGGAGGACCTTGGGGAGGAGGGAGACGGGGGCTGCCCGGATCTGGAAAAGGCAGAGGCGAAGGTTCCTTGAGGTGAAGGGGCGGCTGAGGTTTGGGGACCTGCGATCCCTTGGGGGCGGGGGGACCCAGACGGGGCGGGCGAAGTTTAGCTAAAAAGCAGCCGGATTTCCTGGGCGCCTCTCGGAGTTTGAAATCGGGTGAGGGCTTGGCGGGGGGCCGGCGGGGGCTTGTTGGGTCTGATTTTTTTTGTTTTGTTTTGTTTTGTTTGTTTCTCCACGGAACCCATTCCGGCCGCCACGAGGCCTCCAGCCCCGCGCCCCTGTCGGCTTCCGCTGCGGAGGGACCCGCGCCCCCGCCGCTCGCTCCGGGCTGCCCTCTCCCCGGCGCGGGCGGCCCCGACCGGGAGCGGAGCTTGGCTGCCGAGGAGCCGAGAAGCCCGGCTGCCTGTTGGTGTTTAAATTTACCAACTAGAGAGGAGAGTCCGCTTCCCACCCAGCCATCCGGGGGCGTGTGTGTGCGCCTTTTTGTGTTCTTTTTTCACCTTTTCGGGAGAGGGGAAGGGGAGCGTTGGTGGCGTGGTTGTCCCTAAAATAGGACTTTTCCTCCCCACAGTAGAAGTTATGAAAAACCAAAACAGTGTGTGTGTGTGTTTTGTTTTGTTTTGTTTTGTTTTTTGCTTTTACCTAGGAGAAATCCAAAACTACTACTTTTCTTTCTTTCTCTAGTTTGGGTGCTCTGGCTGTCCGATGTTGGAAGGGCCACAGGACAGAACAGACTCGCCGTGTTTTTTTGTGTGTGTTTTTTTTTTACATCCGCCCTGGAGTTCGGCGATTAAAAAAGTGAACTTTGGTTTTCCTGTGTTCGATAATCGTTAACCTGGAGCCTTTGCATTGAAGGATAAGGAAAAAGCCACAGCCGCTCCACCTGGACCTAAATGGATCTAAAGACAGCAGTATTTAACGCAGCTCGCGATGGCAAACTCCGGCTCCTCACCAAGCTGTTGGCAAGCAAATCCAAAGAGGAGATTTCCTCCTTGATCTCCGAGAAGACGAACGGGGCCACGCCGCTCTTGATGGCGGCCAGGTATGGGCACCTCGACATGGTGGAATTCCTCCTGGAGCAGTGCAGCGCCTCCATAGAAGTCGGGGGCTCGGTCAATTTTGATGGCGAGACCATCGAGGGGGCTCCCCCTCTGTGGGCCGCCTCTGCAGCAGGACACCTGAAGGTGGTTCAGTCCTTGTTAAATCATGGGGCGTCTGTGAACAACACGACTTTAACCAATTCAACTCCTCTGAGAGCCGCCTGCTTCGATGGCCACTTGGAAATAGTGAAGTACCTTGTAGAGCACAAAGCTGATTTGGAAGTGTCCAACCGGCACGGGCATACCTGCTTGATGATTTCATGTTACAAAGGACACAAAGAGATTGCTCAGTATTTACTTGAAAAGGGAGCAGATGTTAATAGGAAAAGTGTTAAAGGTGAGTGTCGCTTTTTCACTCGAATTTTTGTTTACCACTTATTTTCTGGAAGTTTGGTACATAGTGACAAGCAGTGGTGGTAAGTCGATACTGACTTGTTTTGATTAGGTATCCCTTCCAGTGTAACCTTTGATGTTTCTCTGATACTTGATAACCTTGAACAAGTGTGATAGAAATCACACTATGTTAAGCAGCATTTTCTTTCTCTTTTTGGAATAACTTCTAATTGCTGGAAAATGGGTTCTTCAAAGTTATAGAGCATATTAATGGCAGTTGGATCGGAGCCATTAGCTTGTATTTCATCTTCAGAATATACTTCAATGTATTATGTTTTTCTTAGCTTTAATTTTTGTAGAACACTCTTGGAGTAAAAACTATATTTAGTGAGTCATCTTGTTTATCTTAGGTCGGCATTTCTTTTGTTATTCTGTCAGGGAAGGCTAGGCCAAACTGACCTGGAAGGACAAGTATCAATGGAAAAGGAGAAAAATCTGTTCCCCTATTCCCTATTTATTGTGTGGCCAGTTTGTTTTTGTTTTTTAAATAAAGAATATGTATTAAATATAGCAAGAAAGAAAACATTTTTTAAAACTACTAACAATACTGATAGCAAAACAAGGATTAGGTTAAACAAATGTGGATTTGTTGGCTAGCAACAAGGTAAATAATCTTTGTCCACAAAAGTTAAGGTTTACAATGGAGTATAATTTCCAGTGATTGTAGTAAACTTAAAACAGCAAATGACAGTTTAGAATTTTTTTAAATTCTTAAAGAACAACTCTTCTGATACTACAATTTTTATACCTGAAGACTTATTTTTCTTAAACATCTATTTATACAGCAGCAAAATAATTCAGTGTCTAATTAAAAAACACTATTAAAACTTGAAAGTAGCATACATACATGGTAAAAAAAAATATTCAACAGAACAAATTGGTTTACAGTTTTTATAGTGAAAATTAAGTCGTATCACCCCTGATTTCTAGACCTCCAACCCACCCGTGATCACTATTTACAGTTTTTGTGTATGTCCTAGAGATAGCCTATGCAAATACAAGGATTTGCCTCTCAATCTCACCTTTCCTCTGTTTACTTGCATACTGTTAAAAAAAAAATCTAATTTATCTTGGATCTCATTCATCTCCAACACACATAGCCTCCTCAGTCTGATTCATAGCTACACAGTACTTCATTGTATATCATTTATTTATCTGTTCTCTATTGATGGACAGTTCTGTCACATCCATTACAAACAATGCTGCTGTGAATATTCTTGAACAAAAGTGTTGCACATTTGTGTGAAAGTAGCTGTGTTGTAAATACATACATGTGGAATTGCTGAATCAAAGTATATGTGCATTTATCACTGAATAGTGTCTGATTGCCTTTCAAATACTAAACTACACAGTTATGGGGCACATAGTTACTTGATATATTTATTAAAGTTAGTATCATCTTTTAAAAAAAGGTTTGTTATAAAAGTGAATCAGACTCATTGTGATTTTTCTGAAAATGTTCTTCCCTGAGGAAATATAAAAATATCACAAAATCCAGAGGTAATCCTTCCAAAGACGTTTCTGAATTTTGTGAATAGATATATTATGCAGTTTTATTTAATGCCCTCTTCTATTGCCTGTTTTTAGCTTACTAGATGTTATCTTTAATACCATTAATCATAGCTCATTAATTTTAATAGCTGCATATTCTTCTAATGGAGTTTTATGTTGCTTCTAGTTTTTCAGTATGATTCACATGTTTCTGTAAGCATTCTTTCTTATAAATGTTTTCAACTGTTCCCAATTGTCTTTGAGATAAGTTGTTAGGTCCAATTTTTTTTTTTTTTTTTTAAATATATTTTATTGATTTTGTACAGAGAGGAAGGGAGAGAGATAGAGAGTTAGAAACATCGATGAGAGAGAGTCATCGATCAGCTGCCTCTTGCACACCCCCTACTGGGGATGTGCCCACAACCAAGGTACATGCCCTTGACCGGAATCGAACCCGGGACCCTTCAGTCCCCAAGCCGACGCTCTATCCATTGAGCCAAACCGGTCCCGGCTGTTAGGTCCAATTTTTTAATATTTTTTAAACAATTATTATTTTTTAAAGAACACTTATTTCTAATAGGACAAATTGCTGTTTAGAGACCATGTCAATACTAGGAATGTTTTGAAATCTTAACTAAAAGAGGGTTAAAAGGTGTGGTTGCTTGTTTAGGTTTGTTGGATTTTTTGTTTCTTTGTTTTGTTTTGTTTTTATTTATCAGCCTAATGATGGACAGATTGTTGGTAAGTTCATATATTTAAGTAAAATTGGGTTATGTTTTAAACTCATATATCATTGGAGAGATGAGTACTGGTACTATTTCCCTTGTGTTTTTCAAAGCTGCTTTATATACTCCTAGAAATATAGTAGTTGAGAGAACTATATTGTAAGTAGCTCAGCCTGTGCAGCATTTTCCTTATTAAACTCTGAACAGTATTTAACTTGATTACCTTTGCTATTTTAGAAGAATATTCCTTTTTAATCACTATTGTATAGCTGTGTGTATCCTTACTCTTTTCACCAGTGGTCTGCTTAGTCTAGAGTCATTTTTCCCCCAGTGTCAGTATCATATATTTATGTCTCTAAAAAATACACATAGCCTAATTTTATATGTATACATATATACACATACATATATTTGTATTTTAAATATACATGGTGTCCCCAAAAAGCATATATACTTTAAATAATTATTCATTCCAATGGGTTAAATCTAAAAAAGAAACATCAATTGAGCTGTCAGCTGTTAAAGTATGTACATATATTTTGGGGACACCTTGTCTATAATATATATTGCTCTGTGTGTGGTACTCTACCTTTTTATGGTGCATTTTAATTTCAACAGTGATTTTTAATGATTGTTGGGGCAGATTAAAGTACATTGCACCCTCTCTCACTCTGATTCTGAAACTTCCATTCTTTGATGATAACTCTCATTGGCTCTTCACTTTTTTTTTTTTTTTTAATGGGTTAATGGATAATAAAAAAGCAGGGATCAGTTGAAACTGAGGCAGGAACACTGGAGAAAGATCCGATAAAGCATCAAGAAGAATTTTCCCCCCACATTTAAAAATATATATATATTTTATTGATTTTTTTACAGAGAGGAAGAGAGGGATAGAGAGTTAGAAACATCGATGAGAGAGAAACATTGATCAGCTGCCTCTTGCACACTCCCTACTGGGGATGTGCCCGCAACTAAGGTACATGCCCTTGACTGGAATCGAACCTGGGACCCTTCGGTCCTCAGGCCAACACTCTATCCATTGAGCCAAACCGGTTTGGGCTCCCCCCACATTTTTAATCCCACCTAGAAAGAGGAAAAATACTGATAAAACCAGGATAAAATGGAGAGAGAAAGAGAGAGGAAAAAACATCAATGAGAGAGACATATCCATGGGCTGCCTCCTACAAGTCCCATACTGGGGGTGGAACCTGAAACCTGGGCATGTGCCCTGACCAGGAATCAAACCTGCTACCTCTGGGTTCATGGGATGACACTCAACCAATTGAACCACACTGGCCAGGGCTCTTAGAAAATTTTATATGTCAGCTGTTGGAAATGATTTTGAAGAAAGAAAATGGCAATAGATTATGCTTAGTGTGATTCAATATAAAATGTATGTGACATTTATATTCCACTAGAGGCCCAGTGCATGAAATTTGTGCACGGGGGGGGGGGGGGGGGGGGGGGGGAGTCCCTCAGCCCAGCCTGCACCCTCTCCAATCTGGCTCCCAACTGCTCACCTGCCTGCCTTCCTGATTGCCCCTTAACAGCTTCTGCCTGCCAGCCTGATCACCCCCTAACCACTCTCCTGCCAGCCTGTTTGCCCCTAACTACTCTCCCCTGCAGGCCTGGGTCCTCCCCAACTGCCCTACCCTGCAGACCCGGTTGTCCCCAACTTTCCTCCTCTGCCGGCCTGGTCACCCCTAACTGCCCTTCCCTGCAGGGTTGATCACCCCCAATTGCCCTGCCTTGCAGGCATGGTTCCTCCCAACTGCCCTCCCCTGCTGGCCTGATTGCCCACAACTGCCCTCCCTTACAGACCTGATCCCTTCCAACTGCCCTCCCCTTCTGGCCATCTTGTGGTAGTCAATGGGGGCAGTCATCTTTGACCACATGGAGGCAGCCATCTTGTGTGTTGGAGTGATGGTTAATTTGCATATTTTATTAGATAGGATAGAGGCCTGGTCCATGGGTGGGGGCTGGCTGGTTTGCCCTGAAGGGTGTCCTGGATCAGGGTGGGGTTCCCTTGGAGCATGGGGCAGCCTGTAATGGTTTGCAGGGTGGCCACACCCCCTGGTGACCCAAGCAGAGGCCCTGGTATGTGGGATTTATTTTCTATAATTGAAACTTTGTAGCCTTGAGCGGAGCCAAGCCTCCTGCTTGCTCAGTGGCTGCAGCCATTTTTATTATGATTTATTTAGTTTCTATAATTGAAACTTTATGGCCTTGAGCAGAGGCCAAGGAAGCCCAGTGCTGCAGAAATTTGGCTTCCTCCATCTCCGGGGGCAACTCAAGCCAACTGCTCTCTCCAGCTCAGTGGCTGCCATCATTTTTGTTGGGATATATTTATCTTCTATAATTGAAATTTTGTAACCTTAAGCGGAGGCCAAGGTAGACCAGAGCAGGCGGAAAGCTTGGATTCCTCCATTGCTGGGGAAACCCAAGCCTCCTGCTCTCTCCGTGGCCGCAGCCATGTTGGTTGGGTTAATTTGTATACAGGTGTTGGTTGGTAGGCATGGCTTGTGGATGTAGCAGAGGTATGGTCAATTTGCATATTATTCTTTTTATTAGATAGGATTACTTTTTAATGGGCTGTTGGCATTTTGAGCATATTTTAAACTAAGGTGGAATATATTCATTAATTGAGAAAGCATTTATTGAGTCCCTCAGAGTGCCAGGCTCTTAGACTTAGGATGTATAAAGATTAGTAAGACAAGCTATCCAGTTT